CTAATTCAGAATAATTTTTTTGAAGGACCAATCACCAATATAATAATACACATAACATTAAAATATTGATTGCACATAAGAATTATTCAAGATTTTATTATTCTCCTTCTAAGAGATCTTTAACCATTAAATTTAAAATTACTTGGCTTTTGCCACTAAGAAATATAAATTGCTCTTAGAGTTTCTCTTAACACTACTATTTATTTGAATTACGAAGAAAATAAAGAGAAAAACAAAGTATCTTCTATTGTTTAAATTAAAATTATAAAAGCAAGGACAATCGATTTTCTTTTCTTTTATTTGATTAAAATAAGTAAATAAGAGAAACTACAATTATGTTAATTAACTTTATATCCTAATATAATAGTGAGTAGGTTCAGAGTCATTATGACGAGGGGTGACTGTGAGGACATTCTTTATAATTCAGGGGTAGCGAAAGTAAACTCGGTCGCCACCCATAATATAAATTTTATTAGCTACTTCAAAACTATTGTCAATATGGAACATTGATAAATTAAAGCTTTTCTTTGATATTATGTTATCTTCTTTTAGACTTTTATTGATGTTATAGTTTAACTAATCGAATACATATTTTCTGGTTCTGCCCAAGTAGTGATTTGAAGAAAAAAATAGACAAATTTGTCATCTTAACAATTTTTCCTTTCTCTGTCCCATTTTCTCTTCAGCTAAGGAGAGATAATTTTTGTGCACTCAACATAATTTTTCCTCTAAATTTTTCTTCTTCACCAGCATTAAATTTTTTTTTCTTTTCCCATTTTCTATCCAACAATTTTCACCCCAACCAAACAAAGCCAAGGTAAGGATAAGCATGTTCAAAGACCTAAGCAAATGCTTCTTACATAATCTAGGTAGAAATTTTATTTTTCTTTCCTGGGTTAAAGATAAAGCACCCAGACAATACAGGTAAAAAATATGACTTGGTAGTTGGTACAAAATCTAACCACAACCTCTGCTGTCATAATCACAAGTAAAACCCAAATGTTGAAGACATAAACCAACAGCAATGGAACTACAGTCTTATTGGCATCGTCAAAGTGGAAATTAGTTCCTTCCCCACCTAACTAGGCCTCTTGAGATGTCTGGTGAAGTAATGGCAGTTGTTTCATTTTATCAAAAGATTGCCATAAAGACATTTGTCTACAATGGGGGGGATCAATTTGTTCAAAACAAAGAAACTGAATTGAGGTGCCAGCTCGAACACTCAGAAGGACGAACCCAACTAGACAAATTAATCTATTCTTCCATAAAAAACCCATTGGTATCCACAAGTTTGAGTAAGCAGTCTAGCACAAGTAAATCAGAAAGTCAATGATTCTGTGTCAACTGTCAACAGACTGTTACTAATGGGTATAGAGAATGGGGAATTGAAATAAATTACCTTTTTTACATACCGCAATGACTTCTAATCAGCTAAAACGTATTCAGGTCAGTAATGCATAACCATAGTACTTTCAGGTTCTGCCATCTACATCAAAGCCAGAACCAGTCCAACCAGGAGTTGAAGATCTATTCTTGGGCACTGCACCAATTCCTTTTCCTTTTAATTAGAAGTTAACTTTCTTTTTACTTCTTCCTTCTGCTCCATTAGGAGACTGCAGAGCATTCGTCATTATAGGAACAATCTTGGCTAATCCTCCATTTGATTCCTTTGTATTTGAAACAGAGGAACCATCTTGGATTGCACTATTAGGAGAAGAACTTGCTGATTTTCCTAGCATAATTCAAGTGCAAGGTTCTAAGTTTTAGTATCCACCAGAATAATACGAATATGTTTCATGGGGATGCACATGTTTGAGACAGAAATAAATGATGTATGATTATCAATATGTGCAATAACCAACAATAAACTGGAAAGAGAGATAACATTTTCAGGAGAGAAGTCATACAAACAGGCAACATTATATGGTTGAAACTCACGACATTTAGTTTGAAGTTTCAATAGAGGCTGAGTCAAACTGTATTAATTCTGTTTCCTTATGACCTTGCATCACCATAAACAAAACTTTCAGTCCCCGCACACTCTGGATTTGTCTTGTAGCAGCTATCTTTAGTAAATTTCACTCAACCCTACCAAAGAGTATTTTGGCCGAACTAACTTGTGGGTTTGAACTTTGAACTGCTTAGCTAGTTAGATAGTTAATCATGTTTCATGTACTAGCTGCTCCATGCAACAATTAAGAATTCTGCTAGACCTAGAACGATAATTGATATGTTACCATGCTTATGTCAGTTCAATGGCTTACCCACTACCTTCTATTTTACAAAAGATATTTCTTGGAGGAAGGTTTTTGACAAGATTGAGAATAGACATTCACACTCTCATATGACTGGCGGCAGATGGGTATGTATTAAAGAAGGTACGTCAGGTCAATCACCAACGTAAAATTTATTAGGTCACCACTTAAATGATGCAGTAGAAGCTATTGAGCACAAATCTTACAATGATTAGTGCGATAAGAAAAACATACACTGAGAAGACCAGTTGACTGCCGATTTGGATTCAAAGCTTCCAATTGTCTTTTTAATTCCTCCAGCCTAGACAACTGAGTGTTATTGCTCTCTTTGACCTATAAAAGATTGTTAATATCAAATCACAAGATGAATATTAAATGTCTTAATTTAACAATATATTTACCAGTTTGCTTAAGTCTTCACATAACTTCTGCTTTATTGCCTCTTCATCCTTCACTGTTCTTGATGCTCATTCCCACACCTGCAGCATATGCAGTCAAGATATATGCTATATTTGAAAAAGGTAATTAATTATGCTCGTCAATGTTTTTAAAGATCAAATCCCTACTCTTCCACTAAATTTCCCAAACAATAAAACCTCTTTTACCAATCAATGTATACATGCATAGGTTGTTTGGTAAAAGTAATAGGGTCATTAATTTACCATAGCAAAATGAGTTTTTGAACAAAAATATACAAAACATAGGTTATTTCAAATTTATGAGATCAAATGAGCTATTGAGTAAGAATCTAACTAACCCACTGTTCTAAACCTTGCTTCGTATTCAGTATGTGTGAATGATGAGTGCACCAAATGAGCCAACCGTTCAGCATTTTTACTAGTCATATTAACATGAGTAAAATAACATTTAAAAAAAATTTGTTTAAACTGTTTTCAAGCAGCACGAGACTGTATCAACGTTTTTCGCCATTCCATCCTATTTGTTGACCTCATCATAAACTCTCAAGTAAGATATGAAGTCACACAGTAAACAGGGAGTGGGTGCAGGCATAGTGTCGTACAGGGCACCTATACCACAAAAACATAAGACATTATGAAAACAGCAGAATAAACAAGTTAATAGTAGTGCATTAAAATAACATACCTTACGTGCCTGTTCTTCCTTCAGCTTTACCACACGAATTCTCTCGGTTAATGTTTCTATCTTTTTTCTCAAAAGCTCCAGTGCTTAAAGTATGCAAAGCATATAAAAATGAAATGAAGTCATTTTACATTTTCATAATTCTAGGAGCAAAAACCATTAATTAATTAATGCAAAGGAAACAATGACATATAGAAACCTGCTTTCTTTGGTCCAGATGTAAGTTTCATCTCCAATCCAAGATTTGAAAGCTCACGCTCCACATCACGAATTTTAGAATAGTTTTCTTGAATGTACCTGAAAATATTTTTAAAAAAAAGAGAGACTAAAAAAGGTATTCAGTGATCGTAAAAGATACCTCTTTCCATCATATTGGCTTTAGCCACAAAAATACTGATAATTTTTCCATTTCTGCATGCTCCATCCACTTTATTAATTCATTAGCCGTAATATTCCAATACTTCAATTCAATCACTGAAGCAAAATCATGAATGCTAATATTATTATTATTATACCAAAGCTCCATGATTAATTATTACCAGAGACAAATTACAGAGTAAAAAGAATTAAAAGAAGAAATTAAGAAGTAGCATTAGCAAGTGCATAGAGAGAGGTTACTTCTTCAATTGAAGCTGTTCTTCTTCGATTATCTGCAATAAATAAATAAATAAAAGCAACGAATGAGAGATTGAAGGAGGAAGAATGAACAGAGAGAGAGAGATTGAAAACCTGTTCGGTGTAACTGATAACAGGAGCTTCTCTGGGAAGACCATCGGGTCCGATCTCGGGGACGAGCGCAGGGTTCGAACCCATTTTTCTCAATCCCATCACTCTCTTCCTAACAGCTGCAACGCATAAAATCATGAACCCCCTTCTCTCTCTTTATTTATTTATTTATTTTTTATATGTATTTCCATATAAAATAAATAATTATACTAAATGTTATTCTTAGTGGGTGTTTTTGTCATATTATTTCTGTGGATTATGCAAAACAAGTTTTTAAAAATGTGGTATTTTCTTTTATTTGATAAGTTTTAAAAAAACTCAGCTTATTTTAATTATTTAATAAAATCTAAACATAAATTATTATTTTAAAATCACTTTTACTTATTTCAAACACACAGTTATTGTGATTATCAAGTATACATATAATTAATTATTAATATAATATATCAAAAGCTTCATTCATCTCCTTAAAGCATCTTTATGAGAAATATCTTACTCTATTTCTTTTACTTTGTCATTTCAAATTTTTCAAGATGTTTTAAAACTTTGTAAGTAACTTATAATCCTCATAACTTCTTTTCAACTTAAATAAATAAACCACATTCTAACTCCTTTAATTAAGGGTATTTTTGTTTTTTAAAAAAAGGCCATTTTATCATAATAACTTGTATAACTACTTTTTTTAATGAATGTATATGACATTAAAAGATAAAACATATATGAATTGAATGGGTATTAAGGAATGTACTAACGAATTTTAAGTTATTATATAGAAAATTAAGTGTATTACTAGCTTTTCAGTTGTCTATACTGAGCCTAGTTGCATTGCTAAAATCCCAGGTCATGTTTCCCAACAAGGTATCAATCTATTTGTTAATTGGGCATATCTCTCAATATTAATTATATACCATAAAAATGCAAAATCCAGTAGTTTATTAACATTTCTTCATTCCTTGACTATAACCGAATACCTTTGATTTTATTACAAATCTTAAATCTAGAGCTAATTCGTGAGCTCAGCTGTTAACTTGAGAGCAAAGACAAATTGAATGTATAAGAAAATTACAGGACCAAAGATTTTAATTGAAAAAAAAAAAATCAGCATCACCTAAACTATAGCTTAACAACAAACTATAACAAAAAATTTCATTTGTTATATTGCAGCTGCCTCTAGTAAGAATTGCAAGATAGCTTCCTTTGTGGGTAGTGCAGGAATTGCACCTCTTTCAGTAACAGTGATAGCACCACATACATTAGCAAAATATAAAGCCTTTCGGAGACGTTTCTCATCCTGCCAATGAAAATAAATGTATAAATTCTTATGCAAAAATGTGATGACACTATAAAGATAATTGATTATTTAGACTGTTCCCATTTTCCTATACATCAAAAGCAGATTTTTATTTTTTATTTTTGCATATATTTGAGCCCCTATCTCGAGACATCTTCGAGTTTACCTTGTAACTAAGATTTTATCACATGTTAATTTTTGTGTCATATGTCGGTTTTTTTACATCAGGAAAAAGGGACCAAAACTAATAACTTCAAAAAATATAGGAACTAAAACAAAAGGATTAATTTTTAAAAAATTAAATACAGTGTATTTTGAATGACTAAAATCATATTTAACCCTTTTTTTTATCATGTAAAGTGCACCTAAACAATATGCCACTGAATATGAATAAACATCTGGTTTAAGCACATCTTCCACCATAGAAATAGAAAACCTTGTATCCACCTAAAGAGTGCGGCAGAAAATTGTAAATAAATTTGTGGTATTATAAGGGCATTATCTACCAGATTACATATTGTGTAAAACTCTGTAGAATTAAATAGATATCCTGAACAGCAATTAACAGGAAAAATAATCCAATTCCATTTTGCAACTGCTGATCCCAATAATTCCAACTTCAGATTTTTTATTCCTTATCTCCTTCATCATTGGATTCCAAGAATAAAAGGATAAAGAAATAGAAGAAACAAAATATATATCGAGTTAGTTTGGACAACTTCTTAACAAGTACTTGTACAAGAACATAAAATGAATTAAGGAAGTTAAATGAATCAAAATTCTTAAGTTTAAATCCACTTTTGCACCTTAATTTTTTTTCGAAAACTCTCTCATCTAAATTTTTTATAAACAAAATTCTGCATTCTTGCCTTAGAAACGTCTTAACAAAAGGATTTTGCAACTGAAAAGATTCAATAAGTAAGAAACTAATCCAAACTGGGCCATAATAAAACATTAATGCCTTTCTGTCCTAGAACACTTAACATGAATAAACAATTAGACTCTGCAATTTTATAAACCTTCTGGCGTTAACATCCATGAAAATTAAGCAAAATGGATCAATGACAAAATGGGGATCTAGAAATTTTTCATTTTATGAGATACAGGTTGGGTCAGGACAATTTAATAGACAACCACAATGAGAAAAAAAATTCAAAATTACCTGAAAAATAGCTTGGTCAGAAGCTATACAGTATAAAATCCCACTAACAAATGCATCACCAGCACCAGTTGTGTCCACGGGTTTAACTTTAACACCTGCAACCCTGCCCCTAAATTCCTTCACAGAAATAAAACAATCACATTTAGCTGAAGAATGATTCACAAGGGGCAGAAGAAAACATGGGTGAATCCTAAAAGGCAAGCTTTGTATCAGTTTTTACTAGCTACTAGTAGTCATTGAGTACATTAATACAAGATGGTGTCACATTAGTACATTCAAACTCAGAAGTCACAACCATTAATTCAGCCCATAACTTATTGTATAAGGGACACACAATATTTGTCCATGCACTGTAGACACAAGCACACACATCAACACTATACAAAACAAAAATGAAAAGAGAAATCCTGCTTCTGTTGACACGTTTGATGTCATAGTCAAATGGATTTGGCAAGCATACCTTGGTGTAATATCTGCAACCCTCCGAGCCTTCAGTAACTATTAAAAGCTTGAGATTTGGATGAAAAAGTTTCTTCAAAACAACATTATCATCACAAGGATCATCACCTCCGGTCAAAAATGTAATCTCATCTTCACTTATCTGTACATACATAAGATGATACCATGTCAGGTCTATTAAGGAAAATGGAAGGGAAGAACAGACTTCTTATTTTCAAAATTAAACAGAAATATTGAAAAATTAAAGTAAAATTTTGAGAGTAAATTTAAATGATTAGTGTATTATCATTTATAAAGGAGGTCACATAAGAAAATCATAGTCACATATGTTACTTATACCTTTATAACATCAGCCTGATCCCATATATCCATTATGCCTTTCCGAGCAGCCTCTGCTGAAGGCCACAGTGCCAATCTCAAATTAGGATCATAAGAGAGTATGCAACCAGAGTTTTTGGCAGTGCTCATAGCAGCAAGGTGAGCTGACTTGCATGGCTCATCAATCAAGCTGATGGAGCCATAATGGAATATTCTAGCCTGAATTCAATATTATGAATATCCTGACTTAATCCTCAGTTCTAGGATCACATTTCATAAAATATAGAGATTCAAAATCAAAATACCTGCTTTATGAGATTTTTGTCAAGTTCTGACTCATGAAGAAGCATATCAGCACTTGGATTCCGGAAAAACAAGAACTCACGCTCACCATCAGCTCTAAGTGTAACAAAAGCTAACGCAGTTCTTGCATTAGTGTCAAACCGCAAGCCAGATGTCTCAACGTTGTTATGCTTTAAAATGTCAGCCAACATGTACCCAAATTCATCTGCTCCAACCTAACAAACACAGGGAATGTGAGTTTCTGTTCTAGTAAGTAGTTCAATACTTAGCTTCAATCATAAACTTATGTAAATTCTAAGTGTGTGCTTGGAAACGCGTTAAAAATCTTGCAAATGTCAATTCAATGCAAAAGCTACAACTAAGAGTGTTGAAGTAAGATTCATTACCAATTAAACGTGAATCCAAACACGCTATAAATATTCAGATTTTATGAAAATCATTTAGGAGGATGAACAGCTAGATAGTAAAAAGAAAGCAAAGAAATCATATCACCAACAGACATTGATTGGAAACTACACCTTTCCTACAAAAGCAGATGAACCTCCCAGTCTAGAGATACCCACAGCCACGTTGGCTGGAGCTCCACCAGGAGCTTTCTTGAAAGCAGGTGCTTCAGCCAGTGACACTCCTCCCACAGTTGGGACAAAGTCTATTAACATTTCCCCAAAGCAAACAACAAGAGAACTCGTTTCCTTGGTGTCTTCTTTTGTGAAATCATTGGATTGACCTGCACAAAAGGAGTAGCTTCAGACCAACCTGAACCATATTCTGTCAGAACTTTTCACTAGTAACAATCTAATTTCAGAGAACTAAGTAAAACATTAAACACTAAACTCTCATTATTAAGTAAGGAGGCTGAAACTATCAAAACAATTCATCCTTAGTGAACTGTAGATGGCAATGTGGCATACAATAAAACATCCCATTCTGCTAATTAGGGAGAACTAAAAGAATACAGGTGAAATTTTGAACTTAAATATTTCTTGAAAATCTATACGAAGCATGAGTTTCAAGTACATCACTGGTTCAAATTATGTACTTTCCAAGTACCCATTTCTGCTCCCAATGCAGGGTCAGGTCAACTCACATGCCCTGGTCCAAATCACAAAGATCCCATGTACATATGACAAAAGAATTTGTCTAAGCAAAAACAAAAAAATAAAATAAAATAAGATTTTTCACATCATCTGCCACATAGAACACTATACAAATGCAGTCATCAGAGAAACACCGCAATACATCACCATAATTTTGTCCCTTTTCATGGAAATCACACGCTGCCAAGTGCCAAGGTGTCATCTCTCATTCACAGAAAACATTCACACACATTAACAAAACTTAACAGGTCCAATCAGAGAACAAAACATTCACCAACTCACTCAACTAAGATCTCCATTTTGATTCAGTCAAAAAAACCTCAAAAGGAGTAAAACCCAACATCCAAAAAACCTGAAAGAATAAACTTTTATCTGAAAAATCTAGTTCCAATCCACATAAACAATTTCAAATAATAATAATAAGTGTTCCAAAACACGTAAACAAAAAATAAAATAAAATTGTGGGCATAGAAAGAGAGAGAAGAAAGATGACAAAACCTGATGAGGTAGAGAGAGCCATTTATGAATGATGCAATGAGGCTTGGGATTTTGGAACCAAGAAAACAGAGCCTAAAAGCTATTAAATTGTTGTGTTATGAAGAGAGAAAAACAAAATATTGGAAGCAGAAGAAGGGTAGCTGAGAAGGAGGAGAAAAATGGGTTGGTCTTTAAAACAAGAGAGGTGACAAAAAGGAATTCAACAACAATCAACACACACAGCACACAGATTTTTACTTTATATATTTCCTTCCTCTCCAACCAGTTGCCAAAACCTTCTCCAAAGTCTTCAACTTTTCTTCTTTTCTTTTTCTTTTCCAGCAAATGTTATGCGAGCATGATGTTTCGATACAGTTCATGTAGACACAATTGATACAATTAATAAATTCTGAAATAAAACATTGCTTAAAATTTGTGTAATTTTTTTAATTGTTAGAAGGAATAGTTCAAGTGTTATACAAATTAAAATGTATTTTATTATCATTCTTAAATATTTATTATTTTTATTGTTTAATAATTTTTTTTATAATAAGTTCATGAAAGGTCCAATAAATAGTTCTCAAATTAAAATAATTCTTTTTTTAATTTTATTTATAAAACTTGTATGTAATCATCAAAATTCTCTCTATATATACGCGTGTGTTGTTCGTAGAAAAAATTGAATATAATATTGTAAAACTACTATTTATACGTATGAATTGGGTTGTAAGAATTTTATTTGACCGACGTACACGAAACCATCGAAAAATTGAAAGACTGCAAATCATAATATTTATTTATTTATTTTTATGAGGTTACGTTCTGTGCCTTTGTCTCTTTCAGAAACGTGTATTGTATATGTTTGATAAATAGGAAGTCCGTGAATTACAGTGGTGGCAATGGAAAATAATCAATTGTGGGGTTAAATGCAGGTTTTATTTTTTATTTTTTGTAATTTTTTATTACAATAATTTTAGGAATGAAATAATAAGGCATTTTAAGATAAGAAAAGTCAGGACATCTTTAGATTTAAATGCGTGTTTCGATTTGTTGCACTCAATCAATAATTATAATTAAATTTGTGTTTAGATTCGCAATAAAAAAATTTACACGGGCATCTATTTTAGACCGTAATTAAGTAACAAATTACCTTTAATCATTGATAAAAACTCAGTTTAGTATATGGTTATAAACCTCGTTTATTTGTAATAACGAGAAGACACTTTAAATCTTAATATATTCATTAATTTATTCATAAAATTATAATAATCAAAACACTTAATTTATTTTAGATATTTACTTTTCTTATTATTGCTTTATATTATATTACTTTAATTTTTTTATAAAAGCATATATAATTAATATTTTAAATTACTTTGATCAATATATACCCAAAAACGTTTAGTTAAGATCAGCCACAGAATATCGAAGGATAAGGATTCCTGAACCGATACTACTATGCACTTGGCGGTGAGATTATTTGGCCTGTAAAGAACATGACAAAAACAAAAACAAAAACAAAAACAACAATTATATAATAATATCTAAAAGTTTTATGTGAACCTAGGATTGTTACTTTTGGCACACAGCTTCATGCATATTCGTAGATTCCAAGAATTCAAAATTGGATGTGGAGTCCACTCACATGCACAAAATAATTCATCATAACTTGATATTTATTGAGAAACAAACAAAGTTGAAAAGAGGTCAATTTTTTAATATAACTTTAGAGTAAATTATAATAAAAAGTGAAAACTTTTGTTATCATAAAGTTTACTTGTGTAACGTGTCCATTATTTTTAACTGAGTTAAAAGCCCAACATGCATGTCGGTGAGGTTAGCTTTATCTTAATGTATATTTATAAAAACATTAAAAATTATAAATCTCAATTTAATGTAAAGTTATAATTAATAGAATAAAAATAAAAATAAAAAGTAAGTTTATAACTATGAATTTAACACACTGGTCTCCTAGATGCGAACAATCATTAGATATGTATCTATAAGAGATGAAAAAAAATTTGATTTTATTTGACCACAAATTTTAACAGTCTTATATTTTAAATTTAATATAAACTTAAATTCAAAATTAACTTAATTAAAATTACATAACGTATAAAATAGGAGAGTTAATCAGATATTTAAAGATAAATTTAAATTCATCTAAAATTTTAGAAGCACAATTTATATAATAACAGTTTTTAATCAAACCGCTAGAAATAAGATACTCTAAGAAAAATATATTAAATAGTGTAATTTTTTTAAAATGTTAAATTTAAATACTTATATTATTTAAATATTTATAAATATGTTATCTAAAATGTAAAATTTACTTATATTTTAAAAATATATTAGATATTAAAATAAAACAATGAGATAAAGTGTTTATTAATTTTATTTTTATATAAAAAAGTTTTTAACTTACCTACCAATAAGAATATTTAAAATAACAGTCAAATTAATTAAATTCACATTTTATAAAATATAATTTTTAATTTTTAAATTTGATTAATAAAGTTTCACTTATACGTACAAGCATGCATATGGGCACGCTTGTGTACCGTATATATTAAGCATTACTTATACTTAAATTGATTGAATTAATTGTTTTTTATTTTTAATTAAATAAAAATAAAAACTAAACTGAATGTTTAAACCACATTTTTTTTGTTTGAAACCACACTTTTTTTAATATACAATCTCTGTTTATTACTTTTATTGGAAACTTGTTGGATTGATGAAGTTAATGGGAATATTAGCAACATCTTTTGCTAAAACAGAATATATAATGTCACGTGAAATACACAGTTTTTTTCTTTTTCAAAATCAAGAAAGCATGCTTATTAGAAATAATAGACACTATATGAAGAAACTATTTTGTGTGACACCAATATAAGGGTACCTAACATGCTGTTGTAAGAAACATTTGATGAATACGTAAAATAAAATAACATTCACTGCAACCATCCATTGTTTTTGTGGTGATTCCTTTGATTATCTTCTGTTCCACTGTCAATTATTTTTCCTTTTGAAGTAGCTTCATGATGTCGAAACCTATTGCAACAAAATATTTATTTAATTAAATATCAAGAATATAGTTTATAGACAATAGCTTTTAATTAACTTATATAAGTCATTTTATGCATCTTTGTATAATTTGTATTTAGAAACAATAAAAGAATATTTGTGGAAGTGTTACATTAAAAAATTAGATAAACTAATGGACTTTTAGTAGAATTATGAGATATTTTTTTATTTATGCATAAATCCAATTAATTAATTATAATAAGAGATAACCTATTATGGAAAATACATTATGTGCATTATTGTCATTGGTTGATTAAAAGGATTTTCTTAGAGTGAAACCATGTGCATCTACCATGATTCGAATGTTAACAAGAATATAAATATACCTCAAAGGTATATTTTTGAGGAAATTGATCCTCAGTTATACCTTTTATTACTTGGTCGAAGAGTCTTATAGAAAATACTTTTGAACTAAGACAATGGGAAAAGAATTTAAATTGATGATGTCAACTCTTATAATATTGCTTTATATAGTTTCTTTTGGAGTGCAACGTTGGGGGAATGCAAAATGGCAATATTGGTAGGAAGCTTTTACTTATATGTAATCATATGGGTCCCTTTTTTCTTTTTTTGAAATAGTCACGACTTCATTCTAAAGGCCTTAGTGATAGTAATAGTGTTACAGCCTCTCAAACAAGGCATACACGTTAGTAAAGATAAATTTTGGAATAAAAAGTTGTTCTTCTATTGTGGCTAAATAAGTTATAATGATGAATAACTATACTCAATTCTAATTAAAGATGAGCTAAAAGCTTTCTTGCAAAAGAAAGGAGAATACTTAAGTACATTATAATGTATACTATTGATGTTATTTTTTAATTAAAATTAACCTAAGGGTAACCATGAAGTGGTTATTTATGTTTATTAAAAAAAAAAGAGTGAGGTACAACTTTAAATCTGGATATATACATATATATATATGTGGTGGAACTTGCGTGGGCTCACATAGGATTAGATGAAGTTAGACTTGAATCTCTAACACAAATGCTAGACACTATTGTCACTATCAAATATCAATAATGAACATAATCAGGGGAACTATAAATAAGGTAATGGCCCTATTTTGAATATAGAAAACATAACTATCGCTTAAGTCCAAATACTACACTTTACTCTGTCTATGCTACAAAGTCGCCCTATTACAATGCAACTAATTTTTGCTAGTAAGAAAAAACGTTGATCTCCTCCAAGCCTAAATTGTATTTCAAAAGGATGGAAACGAAAATGAATTAACTTTTATTCGAACTCTTTTGCCTCGTAATCCTTATAATGCAACCAACTTCTTTTGTGGAGCACTAAGTGTTAAGAGAAAAAGCTTACATAATGAAGATGGCGATGGTAATTTGGTATGTAAAAATATAACTTAGAATTATATATGGGATGCACTAAGATTCTATTGAGCCATCTTTATAGGCTTGTTGGAATTATTTTGGGATCAACACATCTTGTTGTCTTGTAATGAAATTCACTGCCTTTGAATAAAAATAACTACATATGCCTTATGTTATTACGAATGAAAAGATTTATATAACAAAAAACAAAAGGTCAAGAAAAATATGATACATACCATGTATTTAATGTTGTCTCAGATTCAAAATGGTTAGCTTGTGTGTCATGTAATTGAATATTGTTGTTATTATCAGGAACGAGGTCTGAGAATCCATCTCTTTCCTACAACATAAGTTTTGATAATACAATTTATATGTAAAAGGACTAAAAACATTCCTTAATTATATGATGTGATTATGTAATGAGGAAACCTTGGATTGTAATTGATTGTTAAGCTCCTCCAAGTTGTGCACCTGCCAATAATATAACTAATTAAAATTAATACTGAGCATAGTAGTTAGTATTAAATGACTTCCATACATTATTATTATATTGTATTTTGCATCTAGTTATTTCATTCAATGATGGAGGTATAAGGTTTTTGAATAGTAACATACAACGCAGTATATATATATAGAGAGAGAGAGAGATTAAATCCACCCCTTTTTCCTTTATGTCAAATAATATACATAGGATTCGGGATATATTTGAGGATATAAAAACAATATGAAAGGTACCAAAGTTAAAATTTCGATAGAATTTTAAAAATATTATAGAATGGGATATTAGTGTTTGAAAAGTAGATTTTCGTAAAAAAATTGCAACACTATAATATTTGATTGATAACTTTTAAATGAAAGAGGGATTAAAATAGTTTTATTAATTTAATTTATGAGAATTTTGAAGATTTAAGAAAAAAAAACATAAAAAAATTAATTATAATAATTAAAAAATATATTTAATAAAAAATTTATCAAAAAATAAAAACATACGTCAACTTCTATATTATAAATGAGAATACTCTATTTTTAAAGTAAAGCTGTAAAATATTTTCTTTTATAGTGTGCAAGTGTACTTATAATATTAAAATTGTATAAAATTGATGTATATTATATTTTTCTCCCTACAATTATATTATTTTTGTTATTGATGCATTACTTGAGCTGCTAGTTAACTATGATGAAAGGAACACTTTAATGCAAAATACATTAAGACTTTACAAAATTCCATACCTTTTCACGTAATTCATCAGTTCGTGCCATAAGCTTCTTCATCTACGATTTAAAAGTGAGATAACAAACATGTCAACAAATAAATAAACAAAAGAAGATAATAATACAATTATATTTTTAGTTGAGAAAAAATGACACTTACAGAGCTCAGAGGAACGGAGAAATTAAGATCACAAATGTCTTTTTGATCAAATAATGACAGGAAGTAGAATTAGGCTACGGTATACTTTACAAACAAGAAGGATTCTAATTATTTTTCTAATCAACCAATTAACATCATAATCAACTAATTAATCTCTGGTCAACTCTGGTTATCTATAATAAATCTCAAATAACTTCGTTATAACCAATTTCATTGAGGATTGAAATCACTTAATCACCTTCTCATTTTTACACTTTTTATTACGTCAATTAAAAATTACACGTAATTAAAGCACAAACATTTTCTTTCTTTATTGTCACAATTTTAACTCACATATTATCTTTTTATTAGAGGGACAAGTAAAACAAAGGAAACTATATCAAATAATGAGACCCTAATTTAGATCCCAATGAAAAAAAAAATCTTTAGAATTACGTGCAATATTTAATGTTTTAATATATATATATACAGAGGAAAGATTTTTTACAAAACTAATAAATTATAACCTATTAGATTTAAATTAAATAAAAGGTTAAAATTTAATGTAAGAGTTTTTAGACTTATACCGGTATAAGAAGATTCTACCATATACATACATATATATATATATATATATATATATATATATATATGAAAAAAAAACTAATAAATACTGATTTTAATGACAATACTTGCTGCTGACGAGCTAGTGCGAGCGTTATGTCTAGTTGTTTCTCAAGGCTCTGTAATTCTTTAAAGCTTAGTGGCTCCAGTTCTTCTCCTTGAAAATGCCTTCAAACACCGAAAAGAAACAATGTAAAGTATTGTTCAATGATTTGGACGTTTCAAACACTTTTGTTTCTATATATCTCTTTATATTTGGATTGTAAGTATTATTGTATGAAGGAACATTTTAGTATATCCTTAAATATAGGGGTGAAAAATTAATTAAGGAATAAGCACTTAATTTGATTTCACAAATAAATTTCATTAATAAATATTTTCACCCTTGTTTTTTTTAATTAAGGCTATATCAAACTGACTATAAAAGTAACATTCTTTAATAGATCTAAGATATATACTGTTACCTTTGTGTCCGTTCCAGAGATTCATATTTCGCTCTTAATTTCAAGAACTCATGGTAGCTCTGCATGGCACCATAATTTAATTAAGCCTTATGATTACTTTCTAGCCATAATCATAAGTAAATAGAAAACTGTAGGGTCCCATTTTTTCCCTCCCAAATATTTAAAAATTGATACATAGGGAAAGGAAGAAGATTGAACCTGTGATTCATGTTCAAAAGAATCGCCAGCCTGTGATTTGTTGTAACGACATTGGCGATACCTCTCAATGATTTTGTTAACACTGATCATAATAATAATTAAAAAAAAAGGTCACAATCAATTGATTAATTAGAGTAATGCTTGATAAAACAATCAGTTGCAATATAAAGGACCAATTGTACGAATTGAGAATCATTTGCGGAAAAATTAAGTTTACTTCCTCTAAAAGTAATGCTTGATTTGTATGAATACAAAGTTATTATTAATTTAAATTTATTCGACTGCATTGATTACACTTTTTTTACTGTGCTGAAATCAAATTCGTAAAGCTCAGGTAATTTAATTAACATTCATCAAATAGACACAACAATGTCAAATGAAACAAGCTTTAACGGACCAAAAGAAGATGTGGTCAAAGATTTTGGTATTAAGTTATACATGTGATTTTAATAGTGGAAACAAATAATTTTGTGCATATTGATGAACGGAATAGAGAAAGAGAGAAGAGATGAAATGAATAATAAAGATCAGTGCAGCTGACAAAATGTTATATATTTAGTTCATACAATACATTAACTTAATAGCTGTTACGTTTTCATTTGTCTATTCCCATTGACCATAAATTGTATTTAATTCTTTGCAAAACCATCATCAATCATTTTGTTTTTTTTTTATCAATTCCAATCTTAATGAATGGTATCTTCATCTTCTATTCATGTATATTGAAGACAGACGAAAAATATTATGGGTAAAAAGTGTGAATAAAGTACGAACTGTGAGTCACCAAATCATCGTTCGCGCTACGAATCAAAATTTATCTAAACGAACTGAGCGATAAATTTACAGAAAAGATAAACACTATAAGAAAAGTTATGGTGGGCTCTTTGGTGATTGAGTTTGAGCCGAAGAGTAAATTTCCATGTCGAAAATTTAAAGAAGGACGGTGCATGTGTATTGTAGTATTAATTTTGGGGCAGATTGATGGAGCTATAAGAGAGAACTCAACAACAACAATAATAATTATAATATTATACAAAAAGCTAAAAGACATTCGATTATTATCACTGGATCATAGAAAAGAAGCAAACAAATATGATAGATCAACGCTTAATCTATCAAAATATATTTTTTATTATTACATAACCAAAAGATATTAGATCGTTGTACAAAATTACAGTGTGTTTGTGTAATTGTTTTTATATAGAAAACTTTGGCCATACAGGAAAATATTTAATTTTGTATATATGGTCATGAGTAAAATCACACGCACCCTAGAGAATGATAGAGGGAACTCCCATCCCTAGTCTTTCAACGGGAGCCACTTTAAGGAAGATGCATATAAATCATGTTGCCACCTTATGTTATCAAATTGAATATTGTTTGTAGATAAAAATTCATCACATCTTTCGTATGCCAGACTTTTGTATGTGGAATAGAATTAATTCTCTCTGCATGTAGGTATTGAAAATGATGTACAAGTTACATCGAATTTTAATCTTTAGCACAGATATGACATCTCTGTAAGCAAAAACATTAAATATACAATATATTTGTTTTAACCTATAGGTCTAAAGGGTATATCCAAATATACCAGAATTTTTTCCATCTGAACTACTTATTTAAAATCCAAATTAACCGTATTTGCACCTCTCACTTGGAGTGTAAGACAATCGTAGATGATTGCTGGTGCAATATTGATCTTCATACCTCATAAACACGCAAATTAATGCATGCTATATAGCTTAATTAAGCTATAGCTGGCCCCATATAAAATTTTGTTTCTTTCTCAATGGTTTTCTTTTGGGAGACTACACAATTGGGAGAGTAACTCAACCTCTTTCATAATTATAATTAATCTCATATGCTCTCCCTAGGATATGAACTTGAGACCTCTAACATCAACTACATATATGGTAGTATTTAAGGCACATGTAGAAGTCATGAGATTTTTGCTGGCAAGTTCTTATTCTACCCCAGGAACTTGAAGCAAAACATTAAATGTTCTAATCATTAATATTAGAACTAGGTACAAACACTTAACCCAGAAACAAGTTGAAAGAAAAACAAGGAGAAAAAAAAAGGGCTAGTGGGTCGTGACATGTCCCAACCAAAGAAGAACCTAACCTTACCTGATCGATAGGCATAATTGGGGGCCGGGCGAAGAAGAAGTACAGATTAAAGAACAAAGAAAGGAAAAGACTTGTTAGCACTCAATTTATACCTTTTTTTTTTTTTTTTTTTTATCTCAATCTTTCTTTTACTATCTTATCATTTTTAGTATTTATTATTTTCTGACTCTTCTAAGTTCTACCTGTCTTTCTCTCCTCTCCAAGGAGTATACATAGTTTGAGGGTGTTAAAAAAATTATTAAATTGAATAATTACCACAGTCACACAAGACAAAGAAACAAAGCTTAATAATTATAATTTAGATTTGAGAAAAAAATTAAGAACAAGATTATAGTTATTTATTAACTCAAAAGTTAGTATGAAAGTCTATAAATCAATGAATTGTAAAATGATAACCATACATTCAAATAACTCACTATAATAATTAGACTGACACCAAGATGGCTGCCCAATCAATTTTTAAAATTAAATATTTATTAAAAAATAAGAAATAAGCAAGATCAGCATGGATATTTCTCATATTTAACAGGAAAAGATTAATTAATTATTGCCATAGACTTCAAATCATCCAAGTCCAAACCATATATATAGCATAAGTGGCAAGGGAAATTAAATAAACAAATTAAAGTAAGAGAAAGACAAGAAGGATAAAGAAAATTACTCAGTGCTGCTGTACTGAAAAAGCTTGCCACGGCTAGAAAATATTATAAGAGCCACTTCAGCATCACACAGCACAGAAAGCTCAAAAGCTTTCTTCAGCAATCCACTTCTACGCTTTGAGAAGGTTACTTGGCGATTGATCTTGTTCTCTATTCTTTCAAGAACCACCCTCCCTCTTCCCATGATCTCTCTCTCTCTCTCTCACTCACTCACTCACTCACACACACACACACACACACATCTACAAAGAGTAATATAAACTATATAGTTGTATATAAATTGCACTTCCTCTTATCTCTTTATATATTGAACTAATGCAGAAAGGATCAATAATGGATAAGCATATGCATAAGGGACAGCAAAGGCAATACTACAGAGATTCCATATTCTCCTTCCATAGCCAAACTCATGACCACCCTTTTCCCCGCAATATCTGGCTAAGAAATCATCGTAAAGCTAAAGGTTTTGTAGTTTCCTAACTACCAAGTATTATATTGTTTCTGACTTTAAATTGCATTCGTGTTAACATAAAGGTGAAAAAAATAGAATAACGAAATAAATATTAATTGACCTTGTACAGTTATGTTTTTTTTTTTATATCAGCCAAAAGGTAAATGTATTATGGGTAAAGGGGGACTAATGTTGTACAGTTGTGATTTTTTAATTTGCAATCATAATTAGTGATGGTTGTGGTTGTGTTGTAATTATTAAAGTTGTACAAAAATTATAAATAAATATAGTTGATGCATTCATGATTGCGTATACAATGTTTTCATAAAAATCTTTTAAATACTAATATTATCATAGATTATTACTGTTGAAATTTAAAACTCAAGTGTATTCGAGAGATAAATATATGGTTGAGCAAAGAGGAGAATAAGTGAGGAGAAAAAAAAATCATCTGAGTAATGTTCATGAGACAAAATGGTAACCTTGGGTTTTCTCTTTCTCCATGATAATGCTTCTCTTTTTTAATGCATCCACTTTCTCTGGTAGAGACGTGGAAGTTGTGAAGCCATGTCAACTATTTATGTTTGAAAAATGTTAACTAAGACATTGACTAAGAAATTTAATTAAAAACTATTTAATATGTATTTTTTGTAATTCTTAATGTACTTTTGCCATAGTTTTTATGAAAAAAAATCATCAATATCTCAAAGATGCAATTAGTAAAAAAAAATTTATGTTAATGCGTTTTTAAGTATTTTAAATATCTTTTTATTACAAGTAAATGTGAGTTTGATTTATTTAATTACCAATTCCACATATTTTGTAATAAAAAATTTCTTAAATATAAGTGAAAAAAGCATTATTAACGTTTCACTTTATATTCATTAAGACAATAAAAGGCAGTTTGTACCAAAGAATGACAATAAAAGGTGGTACAGTAATACGTGTCGATTAACCTGTCTAGAATTTTTCATGTTAGCTTCATTTTCAATCATAATAGCCATTGAAAATGCGTGTGGCGTTTGTTTTCCATTTGGTTAACAAAGGTCATCAATTTGTTGTCATCGATTCCCAGTCACAGAGTCACTTCAATCTCATCTGTGAGGCAATTTCTACTTTTTTTTTCCTTTTGCAACTTTACCATAGATGTTGTTGGACCTAAGAGGATTTTATCATTTGGGTCCACTTCCACTACACTTGGCCACGTTTCAGAACCCTAATGGCTCTTTGTCATGCTACAAAAGCTGCACCTCACTTCACCTTACGTCAATTTCCTATGAAAAAGATATTCATCCAATTGAAACTCGACACATTTTGATCCACAAGTAGAGTCACAGAGCAGGGTTGTCCAGTGTTTATTTTTTTTATTTTTGATAAACAAAAATATTGTTGAAATATAAGTAGAAGGGATAATAAGCAAAAATATGGTTACTTACGATCATATTGTAGATAAAAGTTAGTACAAGAACCCCACATTTCTCTTGAAAAAAAATTATTCTCTGTAAGATGCTTATTCTCAGATTTGGTAGTAAATAACCTTTGCATTGTTTTTTATTAATATTTTATATATTTAAATTTGAAATACCTCTTTAATTTATTTTATTTTAAAATAACTCCAAATAGTTTGTTGAATGAAATAAGAGGAGTAAAAAAGTCTCGCATCTCACATGTCACATTTTATAATATCTTCTTAAAATGAAACATCATTCTCTCTTTCTAAAATCTCAAACAACAAAAATTTAATTTAAAGAAAAAACTATTTATTTTTATAACTTTTAAAAAGTGATTTTTATAAAACAAGCTATTATTTTCTTTGAAAAATATTTTCCAATTATCCACTTTTTCTGGGATATCTTGGGCACCCTTTAACTTCTATATGTTACCAAACACACTCAGGTGACACATTACTGTTAATTAGTTTATTTATATTAGTTTTTAGGTTTAATTATATATATATATATATATATATATATATGTATATATATATTAGTTACATGTAGTTTTGCACATATTTTTTTTTAATTTTTTATATAAAATTCATAACTTTTTATTTTTATTCAAAATATTTATAAATTTAATCTATTATATTTTTTCACTTAAAAATAACCAATTAAAATATTAAATTTTACATAAAATAAAAAATCTCGAAAAATTTCTCTTTTTAATCCTAATATTATATTTATAAAATCTTTCAAAATTTGCCACATTTTCATTCAATTTCTTACATTTTGAACTTTTAAACTATTTCATATTTCAATTAAATTACAAACTTTTCAAAACTTTGAGCATTTTAAGTTGAGAAAAAAAAGTATAGAAGGTCTAAATTTATATAATTAAAAGAAAAAGGAACTTCGTAAGTTAAAAAAAATTAACAAACTTAAAGCGCACGCGATTCAAATTATTGGACCAAAATAAAACTATAAATCATAATTTTAATACTACTCAACCTAATAAACTACTAGTCAATTTTTAAAATGCTATTTCACACTTCTTATATTTATGAAAGAAGGCAAAGCAAATTTGCTAAACTCTCTTGTATATTTATATTCAATTTGATTCATCGAACCTAAAGTGAAGTAAACGAAAAATAATAAATTTTAATAAGAAACGAGATTAACATAGAATAATTAATAACTTATTCTAATAATAAAATATATTACACTAATATTTAAAATGGTAATAGAATAATTAATATGTCTAGCATAATACATCACTTCATTAATATAAATTTACATTATCTGTATTATTTAACAACATTAACATTACCTGTATAAATGTTTTAATTTCTGGTAGAAAAAGTGTATATGAATAATAATCAATTCAACGTTAAATTGTTAGTAAATAACATTTTATGAAGTCCCAGAGTAGGTTTGATATGCATATGAAGAGTGCTTTAGTAGCGTCACTCTGATTCGCCACGAAAATTCCTTCTGCAACTATCAATGGCTGAAGAAAGAAGGAATTCAAGCCTAACAAACAGAAGAGACATGCGATAAAAACAGAAAACGAAAACTAAAGAAAGTTAAAAGAAAAGAATTTGTCAACTGAGGATGAAAACATATCAATAAATGAATAAAGTTGGAACTTTATTTTATTGGAAGAGTGAATTTATCCTTTATAAAAGAAAGGGTACGTTACTACGTGGCAGAAAAAAAAATATCTCTGCTTTTAACTTTAATGATATTTACACGAATTTTATTTTCTAACCTCTTCAGACAATTTTAATTTATTAGAGTTAATATAGAATATGATGAAAAGTGATACTTTCTTTTTCTATGATTATTTGCAAATTTTGTTCATACAAGTCAATGATTTAGGAAGATAAACTTGTTAACAAGTTAATATTTTTGAAAGATAAAATGTATAGATAAATTCTTAGGACCATAATAATGCAAATTATCATTTTTAGTTAAAAGGATTAATTAAATTACAGTTTTGTAATAATAATAGGATTTTTTAAAAGAAAACAAATATTTATTATTTTAAAGGTATAAAAATATGATAAATACTTGTTTTTAACAAAATCTTCTAATTATAAGTTGTTTAAACCCAATTGGAGATTGACAATTTTATATTAACCACCTTCAAAGTGAATTAATTTTGGAGCATTAAAAATAAAAGGTTGATGTAAGAGTAGTAGAGCATAATTATGAAACATAAGTAGAACTTACGAATTTGATGGGAGAACTCCAAGAGAAAGAGAACGAAAATGAATGCCAAATGAAGCATCTTACGGCATAGGAAACTTCCAAGCTGAGTATTGCTAAGCCACAGAGATTGGGATGACTTACTGTGGATGTGATAAGTAAATTTCAAAGCTATTAAAATGGACTTATAAAGGCAAGTGAAAATAATAGTGATCGATTGTGAATACTTTTTTTTTTCGTATTTCAATTAAATAATACAAAAAGAAAAATAGATTCTGTGAAAGGAGGAACAAGCAAGCTCTCGTTACGTGCAAACATTTAGCTAGAATTAAAGTTATACAAAAAAAGAATATCATGAATAAACTGAGAGGAAAGGAAATGAATCAAATTAAAAAAGAAACGCACGAAGCATTCAAAAATAGAGTAAAGAACGAAGAATGAAAGAAAAAAATGAAAGTAAAAATAGAGAAATAAAAAAAATAGAGCAAGGATTGAAGAGAAAAATTAAAATCAGAGAAGAGAACTAACGAGAAAGCATAGAGAATTGAAAAACACAGAAGATACAAAGACTGAAAAAGAAGAAACATAAAAAAATCAGCAACTACCAAAGAGCAAAAATTCAAGTAACTCCTCTCTCTAAATGTTCTTTAGATTCATCAAATAGAACTCATTTTAACCCCTATTTAAACCTATTTACATGCTATCTCTGCAAACATCTTATACATTTTAGCACACACAATGGATCTAATTTCAAACAACAAGACCACAATCTTAGAACTGCAAAATACAATGAAATAGTCGTTAATAAAAAAAAGATATTGAAATAAACCTAAGGTTTAAGGGTCACGACCACCATGATTTATTAACAAAGCCACTGCTGACCACCACATTTTGCCGTTTATATCACCTTGTTCCTATAACCTCCTAAGATCCATTGTCATATTGAAGTTTTACAAACCTTTAAACTGTTATAACCAACTATGTATGCTGTACCATCATTCCACCTTTTTTTCCTCTCTCATTCTTCGTCTTGATCTTTGTTATACATAATTAATTATTAATAGATAATAAGTTGTTAATAGATAG